AAAAAAAAAAACAACAACAACAACAACAATAACAATATACATCAAACATCATTGTTAGCCTAGATATAAGTATTCCATTACAATCTGCAGGCGTGTTCAGATCAGTAATTCCGATGGATTAAGTCTACTGGTTTTCGCCTTTAGAAAACCAAAGGTTTCTGAACAGTAACTGTTCATTACAAGAACAGTTATGGACAGCCACATACCACACATTTGAGCTCTATCGGCTTCTCAAAAAAGTGTGAATAGAATATCTAAACCAACACTCGTTAATTAGACCAAACAGTTAACACGTGGTCTATGGTATTCATTAAGAACCAATAGGTATTGCATCATTCAGACTACGAAAAACCAATATCATTAAAAAATGAATCAAATGAAACTGGACAGTGTGGCAACTAGCTTTGACCAGCAGAAGAACCTAGGAGGTCTTGTAATGAAACCAAAACGAGGCGTTCGGGAATTTTCATGGAAGGGTTGTGGTACTTGTCCAAAGTAGACTGTACTTCTGTTTTGATTGGTTGACTGCGTCATTCGTGCGTTTGATTAGCTAGTGATTACTCCACATCTGTATTTGCACACTGGCAAAGTAATAAGTGACGTTGTAGTCCTTAATCAGGAGAAGTCTTTCGTACGTGTCTGTCACACATGTCCACTTATCGTCAATGGTTATTACTACGTGGTTGCTCGTCAACAGGAGAAACAGTCCCTTGACGTAAATAGCAAAACAAACGAACCGTTAAACAAGAATTCAATACCGACAAAGAGAAAAAGAGAGAGTGGTTGCCAGTACGAATTGGGCTGAACCACTTTGGAAATGACGAGTTCACTATAAACAAAATTTGTTTGAACGACCTTTCAACAATATACATATAACTGTAAAGTTTTTTTTTAAGCCTAAGATTAGTCGAGATGTGATTCAACCCATACTGAAAATTTAAGATTGTTTAGATAATTACGGTTACTTACAAAGGAGGGACCAATTAAATGCGTCCTTGAGGTTACTTCCTAGCTTTAGAACCTGAAAAATATGGGTTTTTTTTTTGTTTTGTTTTGTTTTTTTGCATTATTTGATTCAATTGAAGTCAAACATTTTACCTAACGTTTCCCAAAAAATTAAATCTCTAAAAGCATCGGAGTTATTTTGTAATAGAAAAACGTATTTTCAAACAAAATTTTATAAGTATGATGCACGATCCTCGTAGTAGAGAGCGCTATTTATGCAATAGCGAAAATCAGACCTGAAAAAAAGCGTCGGAAAAAAAGTTTACAAATCAGGAAGGTGTCATAATCTCTTTCGTGGACGAGTCCCGTGGGGGAATTTTTGAGGCAGCCGTTCATCTTGAGGCTCGTTTTTCATGTTATTCGCGTATTTTGTTCACATCACGCACTTGACAAATTCTCAAGAGGAAGCTCTTTAATTTTAGTTTCTGCGTCCCCTAAATGGTGTCCATGGCCACTTAATAGAGGTATCCGCTGAATAGGAGTTCATTATAAAGGGAAAGGTGACTCGGCTTAGTGTTGAAAGAGGGAGTGTTGGTGGCTTTGACTTTGAGTCCAAGCTGGTTACGGACCGTTTTGCACACAAAATATAATCATTGTATGATTACATTGACTTACCAAGAACATCCAGGTCGATTGTGCTGTAGCTTCTTTTCGCTGACTGCAGCTTAACTCCTAAAATATACGTCCCAGTATCGGAAGCAAATACATTGCGGATTATCAAAGTGGCTGGCCGCTCGATCGAAAAACGGGGTCATCCTCGCTGTAAAAACCTGACGAGGTTTTCTTTGTTTCATGAGGTATTGTTTTGCTGTACGTTATTGTTTATAATGTTTTATTGTCTTTGTTTTACGTCACTCGTGAGCTTCACAGGTTTTTACACCGAGGATGAGCCGACTCTTCTGCCACTGTTCTCAACAATCACTTGCAATCGCTGTTTACTCCAAGTAGCAACATACCACTATGAAGAGTGCATCAAGAAAAGAAAAATTCATTCTCGCGTCTTCATTAATGTTCATCATTATGTTTAAGGTAACACACCCTACTCTCAGTCGAGCAAAATAAGAACAAATGCAATTGCTTTGAGGAGATCTAATCTCAAAATTATCTGCTCCGACCGCTATCAACATCGCCATCTGCATTAACACTTATCTGGGGTGCTTAGGGTTTGTCTGTATTCGTAGAATATGTAGTTTCATTTGAGCTCCAAAAGGTCTACCTTGATCGGGATGGAACGGGTACGCAAGAGGTCGCGCTTAGTATGGACTTCTGTACGAACCCATGAATTGGAAACAAAAGGTTTTCGTACGTATGATGCACGATATTCTATCTCAAAAGGTTTTCGTATAGCTTTCGGGATGTCTTCGGTAATTTTCACATTCCCACACAGATTAATAATCACCTGAACCCAACATAAAATGAAAAAAGGTTTGCAAACAGAAAAATTTAAAGGAATTTTAGAAGCCTTTTTTGGCTTTGCATCTGATACAACAGCAACAAACATCGAGGCCGCGCGAAAGAACATGCCTTGAAGTCATCTGGTACTGGCTCGGCCATTCTCAGCATTTATTCTGACCTTAGTATTAGCAAAGTCGCGTGCTGCTGCTTCGCTCATGCCAGCTGTAGATCACAAACCGGAAAACAAAACGTCTATGTTAATTGATCAAGAAAAAATTTATTAATAATAGAGTACAGAAACTAAACAAATGGAAATATGTAAATGATGAAATGCATGCCGGGTAAACTTCTCATGGCATTGGTATATATGTTCTTCAGCAATCGTATATTTCATCCACATTATTCCCAACTGAAGCCCATACCCGCCATCCACGAGGGTGTAAATAGGTTTTCGGGATCCGAGCCTTGTTTGATTGCAAACTCGAGGTTTGGAAATTTTATGCCTTGTTAATTTAGGAATGTGGGGGACGTATGGCGAGATTCTGGACGGCAGATATTAACAGTAAGCGAGATTTAGGAACTTATCGGCGGGAATCGGTATAAGAACGGAAAATGCCACCGTCACAACTTTCTCAGAGATAATAACACTGCGTTCACTTTTTTATACTTCGAACCTTTTCCACGCGGTGTAATCCTCTACAAACGGTGGATCACTCTGGGCAGAGTAAACCCATACGCTTTGCGAGTAGACAACTAAGGCCTTTGTTGATGAATAAAGGGAGAACTGTAAAAGATATCCGGTACTAGCTATATTATATACTGAAAATGACATTAGACGCCACTTCCCCTCTCCTTCTCCTTCGAAAAACCCGAGGGATTAAGGAAAAAACAAAAAAAGAAATGGAAATATCCGTTTCATGAAAGACCTGTTCAGAATTTCCTTATACGGTTATGCGGTTGCGATATGCTTGCTGAAGAGAATAAATGTTAAGTATTGTACCGCCCTTATATGAAATAGGAGCTTCAAAATGTATGCTTCACTTGCTAAACGCCTTCTGATCCTGAATCCTCTGAGAAAGCCCTGATAATAAGGTAAGAAGCTTGATAGAATGCTTTCAGCGCATGATCGAACCCGACCTAACACAGTCAATGAGTATTTTATCATTTGACCGTCGTTCTTCCTTTTTCTTCCTTTTCTCTCGTACTTCTTTCGGATAGTATCCCGCCGCGCCGTACGGCTTTTTACGGCCTTAATGTTCATGCTATCGCGTACGGCTCCAATATGGGGATCTTTGTGCATTGTATTTCAATACACGGAGGCTAGAAGATATTAATTTTCCGTTGGAGTGGCAAGAACAATAGCTGACGATTGAAGACAGCAAACGAGTAAGATATTGTTCCTTTTTGAAAATCTTTAGATCAAACAGCGTTTTCTTTTAGGTCTTTTCG